GGTTCTAAAACAGAACCTAGTTCTAAACAGAACCTGGTTCCAAAACAGAACCTGGTTCTAAAACAGAACCTGGCTCTAAACAGAACCTGGTTCTAAAACAGAACCTGGTTCAAAACAGAACCTGGTTCAAAACAGAACCTGGTTGAGAACAGAACCTGGTTCAAAACAGAACCTCATTCTAAGACAAAACCAGGTTGGGAAGAAAACTGACGAAGACAAACTAGTTGAGCAAGCAGCATATTTTTAGATGCAGAGTCACTATCTGACTATTTTTTTATATGAATAAATTGTTTTCATAAATATTTTTAACTGAATAAATATGGGGCTAAAGGACTTAATATGTTCATTCACACATTTACATACTCCAAAAAGAGCTAATTAGAATCTAGTTTAGTTTTGAGAATGAAGTGAAGTTTCCTGTAACGCTGGCTGCATCCTGGTGGCGTTACATCCTGTTCTTTCTTTGGTTTTTCTCAGAGCTCTAATCAGAGCTCTGAGGTTCAGCAGCATGCATTAACTCCGGACAGGGAGGAAAGAAGAGGCACGACTCCTCCACACCGTTAGACATGCAGCAGCATCTGGGGCTTCACCTGGAGACGAAACAAAGACAGTTACATCCTCAGGCAGCTTCAGACTCACTGATACAACTTGTTTTTTTTTGTGCTTGTATGACTACTTGTTCTGAAATTTCCAGATGTGAAGACCAGTTTGCTGAACCTCTCACTGAAAATTGTGACATTATTGTTTTTTAAAGATTTTTCTTCCTTTATTTAATAAAGGTCAAGTTAAATAATATTTATTTTCATAAAGAAATATTTTGAAAGAAAAAAAAATTAATAACCACAGAATTAAAAACAAAACCAAACCGTTGGTTGATATTTGTTAAGCATTTAAAATTATGAGAATAATGTAAGCAGTAGAATTTTCATTTTTTTCAGCAATGTTGCTTTGAGTTTTTAAAAAGAAAGGTAAATGCTGTAGCTGTTATTTTTACTAATGTCAATATTACACTATTTATAAATATATTATTTTATAACCTGCATCAGATATCAATGAAGTTGAGATTTCAATCCCCTTTAGGGTGATAGCAGATGTTTAGGTTTGAGAAAACCAAGATCTATTTACCATCCTTTAAAATAAAATAAAAATGGCACGAAACCCCCAGAAACTTAAACAACTTAGCCATTACATATTTGCTTAACAAATACATATTTGCAAAAAGAAACTTGGATATTCTCTGAGTTTAAAAAGTCACAAATTGGTATAAAAAATATATATTTAATTAATGATTAAAAGCATACATTTCTGATATTAAACTAAGAAACTAACATCAGAGATTTGCAGACTTTAAGTGTTTATAAATATTAACTGAAGTTGTCTGACATGGTGAAGTCAAACACTCATGATAAAAAAAAATCCCTTGAAGGTTAAAGTGGCACATTTAGGAGCATCCAGGCTATTTTCCTGCTTCAGAACGCCATGTTATAGCTGCTTCCTTACTGCCCCAGGCTTGTATCCGGCATTTATAGCATACTAACATCTGACTAATAAAAACTCTTAGTTTAAATACTATAAATGTTTTGCCTTTTTGTGGAAATGTACTTCTCTTCTTACATCTAAAGAATCCCTAATATTCTGTCGTAGGTCCATCAGCAGTGTGGCTACATAACATGGACAGTCCTTTAAAGGTGCAGTACTGTAGATCTTTTCTGACGCATTTTCTACCATGTGGCTTAAAGATCTCCCCACAGCCGCTCAGCAAGCAGTGAAATAGAAGGTCTGGAAGTGAAACTAAAATAAATGGTCCCCGCTACAGTGAGAAATCGATGAATAACCCCAACCAATCACAAAAGACGGTCCGATGTACACGATTGGTTCTTGACATGTCAATCATGGTTGTCTGCTTTTCCCTCCCCCCTTTGTGCGACACATGAACGAATCGACTCCCCAATGCTCGTGCAGGACGCCATGGCTGGAAGCTAGCCACTGTTATGCTACCTTCACACCTACAGCAGCAAGAGCAGCAAAAACTCGCGTGCTGCTTAATTTTTGATGCTTCTACCAGTTTAGTTCTGATGCACGGCTGAATCATCTTTGCTGCTCTAGTGCGCGGTGGAAAAAGTGGATCTGATGCGCAGTGGGCAGAGCTTTCCTATCCTCCTTTTGCCTGTAACAATGGAAGCTATATATGCTGTGATCAGGGGGTAAAAAGTAATTTGAATTTATTTTGACATGAGAAAGTTCACCTAAAAAAAAACACTGTCAGTGCAGTTAGTTCATTCAGATTTCCATCCTGCCTTCAAATATTATTTCAGTCAGGAGCCGTACAGTCCCCCTGTACACAAGAAATCCCATTTAACAGCAGCCTATTGCCCAGTGGCCTCATCTTTTACCGCGGCGGCTGGAAAGCGTTTTTAATGTACGTAATCCAAAATGCAGACACCAGGATAATAAAAGCGAACATGTTTTCCCGGCGGATTTCGGCATTTTTAGTTAATTTAGGCGTTAATAAACTGTTTCAGAGGAGTGATCATAGCCCTCTGCATCATCAGTGCTGCCTGTTTCCCTGCCAGCTCCCAGATCAGCGATGCGCTGCATCAGCTGCTCAGACGCGCTGCAGACAGCATGCGCGTTCCTGTGTTTTGAAGGCGTGGTTTTGAGGGATTGTATGAAGGGAGAGGCATGGTTATGTATGTTCAAAAATATAGCTTGCTGGAACAGTTTCACCAAGATCTCCTACAGCACCTTTAAAGCAGTGATTCCAAACGACGGGTGCTAGTACCCCTAGTGGTCCGCCAATGCATTGCAGGGGGTATGTGAAAACATTTAATATTTTATTTCCCCGATAAAAAAATACAATAATACATATATATGTTTGTTTTTTTTTTTATGTAACAAAAATTAAATTTCTGAGCATTAAATGTTCAAGTTAAGGAAATTAAATATTTTTCATTTTATAATCAGTTGTGTTATAATCCGTTGTTTGGGAATCACTGCTTTAAAGCATCCTTTTATTACATTTAAGGTAACATTATCATTTGTTCTTAATCTCCATGGTGACAATAAAAACTGTAATCTCTGCTTATCTTTAATTTATCTGCAGACCCTGAAGGTTTTAAAACGGACTGATGCTGCCACAGAACAAACCTGCATCTTTGATATACAGTATATGTTGTTTGTTATCTACACTGAAGGCATATTTAAATTTTACCAGAATCTCTCCTCTGACTGAAAGTGATATTAAAATATTGCATTGACACAACAGGAGTCTGGACTGGAATCTCTTCAGCAAGCTACAAATTTAGGGGGTTGGCAAGGAGGCTTTTCTGCTTTAAGATTATATAGTAAAAAAATAATTTGGATTTGTTTTACACACTTTTCTTTTTATAAATACCTACTGATCTTTTCTCATTTTGTAGAAAAACCAGGGATTTTCATGATGAGTCAGATTCGGTGTAGATGATGGCAGGTGTTGAGTAAAGCAGAACTGAAGCAAAAGGTGTTTGCTTCTAAGCTGAGCCGTACAAAATCTATCTCACATTCAAGTCTGAAAGGAATTTGCCTTGATCTCATTTATGTACGTTACAAAAACCTGCTGTTTTATCATCAATACACAGGAACCTTGTTGAGCCGCCGTCTTCAAACAGGATTTTCATCAACCTCTTCCCCATTCCTGATTACTGAGGGTGATCATTAAGCTTTGAAGCTTTGAAACACTTATACAGCTTTAAACCAGGCCGCTTGCTGCTCATGTATGCAGACCTAAGCCGGTGTCCGATGGCAGTTGTTCAGGCGTTAATATTACAGTGTAACTTAATGCTTCAGGCACTGAGAGGGTGGGCATCAAACATCTCTAAACTATACTCAAGACTACAGGCTTTAAAATATATTTTAAACAAATTATTCTTATGTGGATTATTAAATTGATTTATTTATGCTTTATTTGAAAAAATGTCTAAAAAAAGTGAGGACTTTTTCTTACCTATTTTCTTGATAACTCCTTCTTCATGCAGGATTTGAAAGAGATGAACTTTTCCTCTGCTTTAACACCCTGAGAATGTGAGAGAAAAGCATGAGCAATTGCTGCTTCCCAAGAAACGATGACCTGCTGTCCCAACAGGTGGCAGTATAACCTCAGATCAACACCTAACCAGCAGCGGTTTGATCCAGGAACAAACACAGAGGAGGGAGGAGAGCGACCTGAAGGATGCCTCACCCCGTCTCCACGGTGCAAACGGTCCTTCATGACTCCAATGAACTCCTTGTGGCTGAGTTTACCATCTTGATCCTCATCGAAGATCTTAAAGACGGTGTTGACCAAGTGGGGGCTCAGTTTGATTCCAGTGGCGACATAAACGGCCCTGGTGAACTCGTCTGGGAGAGAGAGGGATGCAAAACATTAAAAACAACAAACCCATCAAAAACAGTAGAGCTTCATTTAGAGACGCAGATCAACATTACAAAGCCTTTAGATTTAATAAACTATTTCAAATTGGGACAACTATAAAAATAAACCAAAGGATGTAAATCGAACTAACTCGATAATTACTCATGTGGACAGTTCAGCCTATCTAAGCAGATTACCAGCTGTTTTCCTTTAACACTTTGCTGCTAAAACTCAGATTTTATTGTCTAATCATAATGATCAGATTTAGATCCATCCTAGCTTCTTGTTCCTGACTGATGAGTATCTTATTCTCTTCTTTTCCAACATGTGATGTGTTCTCTAAACAAAAGGCCCCACTAATGCTTTAGATGACGCCTCTTACATTTATAGCTATAACTAAAAGGTTCAAGTAGACTAATTCTAAGTCTTAGAGGTTTTAAGATATTTTGGAGAATCTCTCTGTGGTAAAAGTAAATGAATAAAACATTTGACACATTTCTGAGAATTCATGATTTTTATGGTTTTGCCTTGTAAATGGTTGCTCTGTCAAGCTGGAAAATGTATTGTTTATTACCAGATAAGTCCTTCATTGTTGTAAATCGTTATTTATTTGTGGCAGTACTTTTGTGCTAACCTGGATGACCAGGGAAAAGCCTCCACCTTCCAGGTGGCGGGGTTCATGTGAGTAAATGAGCTCCCCTCCAGTCTAATCCTGTTACCTGCTGGAGAAAGTTAATGGTTCCTGCATGTCTTTCTAAAGCCTCCACCTAACCCCATGCCACCGCCCATTTCAAAGCATGCTCTGCACCGGTGGCAATCCCATTCTTGGGAACGCTGAAGCCTTATTCCTGTTTGTCTCCTGCTAGTAGCTTGTCTGAGTCCCCTCTTTTAAGCGGCAATATTGCTGTTCTGATGCACAGCAATGGTGTTTCAGCGGCTGTTATCTTGGAGACAGCTGCCGTTAACCAAGAAAAAAGGATTTCTAACACCTTTCCTTATACAGAATTCATCCTGCTCTTACTTATAATTTCTTCTTTGCAATCAACTGCTTTTGATTTGTTTTTTTCTTTAAGAAACTTTAGGAGTTTAGTTGAACTACTAAAATCTAAAATTTAGTTTGACTTAAAAAGTTATCTGTCCCCATTTTAGGTATCTTCAGAAATACTAAACTTTTTGCTGATTCACATCACTTCTGGCAATATTCCATAAAAGAAAGAGATGAAGCTTTTGCTATAATGAAGATATTTGTGTAAAGATGTGGATCCTACCTGGTTAAACTATAGCTGTAATTATAGAATGATCAATCAGTCTGATCAACTGCTGCAGCAGCTATATGTGGACAAGGAAACTCCCAGCTTTAGAAGCTGTTTTGCAGCTTGAATTAAAAGGAAATGATGCTTTGAACCTTTACCTTGACCAACAGAGCGGTGAGCAAAGTTATACATCTTCATGGCGATGGCGAAATCCTCCAAGTTGTTCAGGAACTGGAAGAATGATCTGAACTCCTCGAAGCTGATCCCCTAGAAAACAAAGAGCTGTGAAATCAAACCATGCTTTTTATCCAGGATTCAGATGTTGGAGCAGGCGAGCTTCGTGTGTCAACACTCCTGCAAGAGGACGGTGCTAAAATTCACACAAAACCTAATCGCTCTCCTTTCATCTTTCCAAAGGAATCCCTCAGTGTGTGTGGGGAGCTTGAGGCCGTCAGATAGATAACACACCCAAACAGACAAAGTATACATTGCTGGATTTTCCCTGCGCCGTATGGACACGCCGGGCTGTCAGCTCGCAGACCTTTTCTAAAGCAGATTAACCTGATACTTGAGTAAACAAAAACAAAAGTGATGAATCCCCCAAACATCTCAGGCTTGGCTGATGACTCAAACACTGAGCCCATTGATGTCCACTCAACCATCCTGCAGCTACTAGCTGTTTCTGCAGCCGGGGGGGTGGGGGCCCCCCACCCGGACCCAACAGAAACACACACAGCGGCTGACAAATGGAGTAATGACTAATCTGTGACGCTTTGCTGTTCCAACAATGCGGGAAACATAAAATATCGCTTAGCGTAATGATGAGACCCACTTGATTATCAATAGAGATCTAGCAACAGGCTCCTCATGGGGCTGAGGAGCTGCCGGCACCTTTTCACGCAGGTCAGCGTGCGGAGAGGAAAAAACACATTAGAGCTCGAAATGAGGCTGCTTCACTCAGCAGCCAATTCACATTACCCAAAGAAACTTCCAGAAAAAAAAAAAATTAAGAAAAGGGAGAAAATGCAACAAATGTGTCTGAGGTAGGCCTGGGGGATATAAACATCTTATTACGATATCGGATGATGAGTGAAAACGATAAAAGTCACTATTAAGAAAAATAAAATATACTTCTTCACAGCGTTTCTTAGGCCCACAAGAAGAGCGATGATGAATAAACACATTGTCCTCAGGATACCTGGCATATAACGATGCATAATCTATATCCTTATGCATCTCTTAATAACCGCATTTAATCATAGTCTTCAAATTGATCAGAAAAATAATTACAGAAAAAGAAGAAAAATGGTTATTGAATAAATAGTAATCATTGATTTCAATTTATTGTTTAGACAATAAATTTAGACAAATGCACACTCCTACTCTGAGGATAGTTAGAGGTTCTAGAAATAAAATAAAAACTTTATTTAAAGCCTTGATTATGGTAGGGTTCATCAGCTGTGAGAGAAAGCTACAATAATATTAAAAATCTAATACTTTGCTAATATAAATACTTTTTTTTTTGGTTTTTATCTTCCTTAGCTACACTATTACCTCAAAAACCTTTACAGGACAGGCTGCTTTGCTGCAAAAAACAACAATATATATTTAATTGAAGAACTCCTGCACTTTAAAAAAATAACTCATAGAATTTAATAAGCACTCAGTTTGATAGAGAGAATTAGCTCAAATTTTATTAGTAAAGTCTATCTAATTTAATAGCTAAAAACCCCAAGAGAAATTAGGTAACGTTTACTCAAACTTACAAACTTTAAATACAGGAATACATTCGCCTGGAATCGAACCATGATCGCCGTTGTGTAAAGCAGCAGTGCTATAAACTAAACCATCGTCTAGTTCACTTTCCTGACTTTTCACACCGTGCAGACAACAAGGCTGCACAATTAGTCTGATTGAAATTACTGTTTTCAAACAGAAAATAAGAAAACTCAATATTTATCATTTATATACGGTTAGATTTAAACAACTAACAACACATAATTTTCTTGCTCTAAGGTTCATTTGCCGTCTGATCTGTAGAGGTGATTTTTATCTGATTTTCAAAGGATTGCACTTAGCATCCACCAAAATCCTTTCTTAGAGGGGTCTAATGATGATCATTGGTGGGGTGAGAGCCTATATCTGTAAATAAGCAGCTCAGGAAACCTTGCAGAGTTGATCCTAAAATGTGAGGCGTCTCTTAGATTGAGAACAAACAGGACAGGATGCTGATCACATGATCGTACCTCCTGAGTTTAGAGAACCATTTTAACTTCCCTCGCTGCTTTTGCAAACTCATGAATATTTGTTGGACCCACATAAATAGTGCATAAAGATGAAGCAGAAGAACTGTTTAACAGATTACTGTAAGCTGCAAGTCTTTCAGGTTTTGTCTCTTAATATTTGCATACTTAGACAATGAAATTATGCCTAACGTAAGCTCAGTCAGATTTTTAAAAGCGGTTTTCAGCTCTTGCCTCAGATTGCTTTTGATTTGGGTCTGGACCTTGATGTAATTGTTTTAACATTCATAGCAAAATGTGTTTAATTGTGTTAAATTTCTAGTGTCACCATTGAAACTGCTGTGTTAATTCAACGCTTGTTTAGTATAATTTAACTGTATAGTGGAGGAAGTTCTTTTTCCTGGATGGATCATTTAAATAAGTGGTCCTCCTAATTGTCAATCATTCTGGTGATATGTTTAGGTAAGGCCATACAACGTTCTTGCCAGTTGATAGCTATCTTTTTCTGCGCATGCCCACTTTCAGGTGTGTATGTGTGGTGACCTACGGTTTCAGCCAGTCATTGAAGCTCGCCTTTCTCACCATGATTCGCTGTTGTACATACATTTTCACTGACCGGTGGTGAGTCTGACATTATGGAAAAAATTGCAAATCTTTTGGAAAGTAAGCTTTTATGAGGAATGCAAACAGCATCTTTTAAACAAAGCATGCACAAGGAGAAATAGGTTGTGAATGCTCTTGCACGCGTTTAATAGATGTTCCCTCTCCAGGTAAAGAATTGTGCATGTACTTTTTTTTTTTAATTAGAGAGGGTTCTTTTCAAAAATTAGGCAAAATCTTCCCCTTTACATTTAAACAGTCAAGAGTTAGTTCCTCCAAAGGGTCTTCTTTTCAAAGATTCAGAATACGGGTTGCTAAATTACACGTGCAATGCTTTTTTTAGTACATGGTCGTGTTGGGGAGGATCTGCAAAGATTACTGCGTAAATGTAAACATGTGCAAAACAGTTTGGTTCAACCTATTAAAATTAGCAGATTGTGGGTTCTAGAGAAAGCTGAGAAAGGTTGTAAAATAAAGATGAGGTTCAAAGCCATGTAACTGGAGGTCATAAACATAATGAATAAAACATAAGTATTGACAAAATAGGAAACCTATTGTTAAATCATATTTATGAAGCACCTTATGTTGGTAGCCTAGTGGAAAGTTGAACATGAAATAATGAAAAACGAGAAAGTCGTCCTTGTTGATTAACTCCCACCCATCCCTGTTGCGAGGAGTTAGAAATGCACTGTTGTCTGTCATTGGACCAATGCCTGCTTCTTGGCAACGAGGACTGGAGATATTTTTAAGTGCCAGTTTGCACCTGACACTCAGAAGTACTAAAATAGGCACAAAAACTGCAGCTACAGCTGAGTTTTAACTCTGGAATTTGGCACGTAGAAAATATTTACCTTTCCATATCTTCCACTCATGAATTTCAACAGTTTGTTCAATAGAATATAATCTGCATATTGAAGGGGGCAGACATGGAAAATAAGAGTAAGCTATCTGCTGAGCTGCAAACATAATCTGCTCTGTGTAGACATATTTGCGCTCGTTTTAAGATGCGCAAACCTTCTGAAGATGTTATTAAGCTGCAGAAGCAATTTTGGCTTTCAGAAGTTTCTCCCAGGATTCTGACCAAATGGACTTCGGAGTTGCAGGATGCAGGAGTTGGCCCTGCAATTGGAGGGTCACTGGTTGCAGTGAGGGTTGGGCAACATTTTATCAAATTGCCTGCTGTTGATGGTAGGGGGTGAGTAGCACCTGTGTACGGCAGCCTTGTTTCTATCAGTGTGCCCCATGCCAATAAAACAGTTGTAACTGGAGCTTTAGTTGAAAGAGGTATATTTTGAGTCAATATTAGAGAGAGAGTCCAAATATTATCTGTTTTTGAATGGAAATATCTTCCTTTTAGAGAAATAATTCCTGTTTTATTAACTGTATAATATGTTTTTCTTTCAAACTTTCCCAATTGTTTGTTATTTTTAAGTCGCTGCAGGAAGGACAACCTTTGCTGCATTTTCTTTGCAGCAGCATCCTAGGTAGCAGTTGTTTTTAGGAAGCTGAGGACATGCAGGTAGGTTTTATACTCATGCCAGGATGTATTCAACAGTGTTTGGTCTGATGTTCAAAGTCAAAGACGAGTGTTTGATTAAACTACACCTGAACCAACATCTTTAATGTCTTCTAACAAACTGCCGGACTCTCAAGACCTTAATTTGGTTGCACTTGATATTAACTAAAGGAGCCGGGGCTCCACATTTACCCTAAACTTCACAATTTTGTGTAGGTCTGTCACATTGAATCCCATAAAAATATCTGGAAATGTACATTTGTAATGTAACAAAACTCATAGAAACCTCAAAGCCCTCTGTAGCTGGACATAAAACTAAGCTGGAGATCATTTTTTCAGGTACTTTCAGCTTTATTAGCTTATATAAAGGAGCACTGAAAGGTCCAATGCTCTCCTGATAGTTTAAATTAATCATCTTTCATTATTTTAGCTTCTCATTTTTATAAAGAATAGCAAAGCAAGTCTTATGAGAGGAAAAAAAAGCTCACCTTATCATCTGGTATACAGTGGCGTACATTCTCCATGTACCCGCCAACATCGTCCACATTTGTGTAGCGAAGAAGAATGCGAGCAAAGTCTTCTTCACTGATGGTGGGCATCCCTTTGGAGTAAGAGAGGAACTCTATCTCAAGCATTTCTGTCTGCAGGTTGTCCATGAACCTGAATGAGTGGGACGAAAAAATACTTTACCCAACAAATTTTATTTTATTTTTTATATTTATTCATTCAAAGACTGCCATCATTAAGACAGATGGTTAATTTTTAACATACTTGTAGAAATCTTCAAATTTCAACTCAGCTTTGCCTTTTTTTCCAAAGAAATGGACAAGCAGCGTGGTCTCTGTTTTCTCATCCACATGCTACAAGAGAGAACAGAAACTGTTGGCTATTTACAGATCTAAAGACAAAATATTATATACTTTCATTCTTAAAAATACAGCAAAACACCTCAGCTTTAAGTAAAATTAACAGCTCTCACGTGGCAATACGGAGTTATTATGTAACCATGCAGATAGCTTTGAAGCAAGGAATGTTGGATTACGAATGACATAGTTAATAATCCAGAAATCAGTCACCCGGAGCATTATTTTTTTTATGTCTGCATGGTCCAAACACATGCCGTGCAATAGACTGAGTAAACATGCCACGCCCAATGTAGGAGCTGCTATTTCTAAGAGAAAAAAAAACACATCACCTGCCTTCAGTTTTAACCTTTACTAACAGAACAGAAACATACAGTAGTCCAGGTTCTACAAATGCTGTATTTGTACTTGTCATTTATTACTTAAAAAGTCACCAGCTACCTCCATGAGATCAGAAAACAGAGCTTGAGTCGTGCCGTGCCTGAGAACATCCCACATGCCTGGGTTCCCCACATGCTGGACGTCTTTTTTACGAACCTGTGACCGCAGTTAAAGCACAGCAGGTTAATAGGACAAAATGCGTCAGGTACAAGTTACCATTTTTGAAAAGGTTACAAATGGGAAAGGACAAAGTGAGAAGCTGCAGAGCAGACATGCTAGTTGACATGTTCAAATGTCACATGTGTTAATATTAGCTACAATCTTGAATCCTTTTTTCTGGGATCTTAATGGGAATTACCATAACAAACCACTGAATAAAAGGGACGGCAAAAACGATCTAGAAATACTGTAGCTCACCATTTCTAAAATCAAGTGTATTTACCCTTAATTTGAGTGAATGGGTTTAGTAGTTTTACTCCTAAAATAAGATAATTAGATAATATGCACTTAAAATAAGAAAATACAATTGTTTTTTCTTATTTTAAATGTAAATTATGTTGTTCCACTGGCAAAGTGTCTCACTTACTTCCTCAATAAAAGAAAAAATGCACTTATTTACTTATTTTAAAGGCACACAGCGGACTTTATGACCTAAAGAGTTACGCATATGAGTTATTTTAATCCTCATCCACTATACGGCACTTGACACTATTGATGCTACGAGCAGGGCTCCCCTCTTGAAATACCGACTATGTAAGCTCAGAGAAGAGGCACCATCATTGGCCAGGTCATGTGACCTGGAAGAACGTACTAAATATAGAATATCAATATAGAATAGAATTCAACTTTATTTTCATTACACCTTCACAGTGAAAAGCAATTAATTCTCTGCATTTAACCCATCCCCTTTGGGGAGCAGTGGGCCACAGTGTTGGGTCAAGGGTCTTGCTCAGGGACCCAGAGGCAGCTGGGGAGTAGGGCTTGAGCTCAGAACCTCTGGGACCCAAGCAAAATGCCCTACCCACTAGGCCACCACTCCTCCAATACCCACAATATCGTCATGGTATTGTGGGTATTGCTATTATTTTTCCGCCTGCTTGACAACTGGTCATGGCTGAGGCAAGGAAAAACTTTAAACCTCCTGAGGATGCTAAAAAGAGAAAATGAGAAAGGGATTGTACACAAGGAAAAACAAGAGTCGATCTTGGAAAGGATGTTGTTCATGGCCGCTGGCTGAAAAAAGAAGCCAGACTTTAAACCGATTGTCTTTTCTCAACTTCATTATTAGACTGGTAAGTTAACACTTTGCTCCTACTATACAGACATATATCTTTGTTATTATTTTAAATGTTTAGTAGAAGCAAAATACTGGCAGTTATAGGTCTAGCACCCCTAGTGGCCAAAAGTTACACAGTGTGCCTTCAAGAAAACTGACTTATTTAGATGTTTTCCAGTGTGTGAATTCTTCTCATCTGTACTTTAATGCGCCACAATTATCCGATCAAAGCATCTAAATGGTTTAAATGGTCAACGGACATGATGCTCCCAACACCATGTTTCACTGCACCTACAGTACATATGTGGTGTTTTTAAATTTCCCCCCCACACAGTGCTATCTGGAGTAAGATAGCCATATTTACTCTGATTTTTATTCATTAAGGTATGAAAAACCTCTTTAGAGTTATCCACACTTTGTTAATAAGTGACATGAAATCCCAACAAGATATGAAATCACTGAAGTCTGTAGCTCTCATGTACCAAAACTTAAAAAATCCACAAGCTAAGATTAATTTACTGAGGGATCCGTCTTCGGAGAACACAGGCAGAACAGAGGGGTGAGCTTTGTGAGAAGCATGCAGCAGCAGTATGGGCCTGACACGAGCCTGGTCTGCAGCCATGCATGCAGCCTTTTGGCCAGACACTGCTGCCTGAGTAACATGTGTCCGCTAGGCCTGAGCGAGGCTTTGTTTAAGGCATCCCTATACCTGAAAGCAGCCTAATGTCATGATCTAAAGCAGAGCTCCAAAGTAAATGCAGGTTATGGAAACCTTTCCGTTTAGAATGTTGTTGTGAAACATTGTTTTTGGTCTTTTGTCTGTTCCACATCTGCTGTTTGATGCAACATAAAAGCAAGAAGCCACTATTTTCCTCAATGAAGTCATGCTTTTCATGGGAAATGACCCAATCATTATTGTTATTACAGTTTACTCACTGTAAAACACAACCGCTGAAAATAATTTGGCTGTTATTGTTATGCTCTATAGTCGTCCGTATCGCAGGATATCTGTTTTCTGAGCGAGAAAAACTATGATTTCAACACCGAAAACCATGTGTTTCTTCGTTGCTTCCAAGCAAAGTCCTGAGATTTCAACATGTGTGCACAAGAAAGCAGAGCAGCCAGCTGCTGCTGACACCTCATCGCTCGCTTGATCTCATAATTAATTATATTTATGAATCTTGTTTGGATTTTCATGTCTCAAAGTCTGAGGCGCAGTGTGAGACAGCTGATTAAACAGCTCTTCCTCCGTGCCTCGCTGCGTTCTTTAACAGAGAGAGAGATTTACGACACAAACCAGCAACTAATTATGGAACAACACACTTCATTGCCCCGTGTTGCCCCCCCCCCCGCCCCTCATCTGAACAGATCCTGAAACAGTTGTAATTAGAATATGCTGGGGGAAAACCCAACCGCAGCACCGGAGGCAGGGTCTGTCGCAGTATGTGTTCTTAAGAACCTGACTGAAGCCTGGAAAAGTGCCTAGACCAGAGCTTCTTCTAACTTACTGGTAACTTCATGGTCAAACCCATCTGAAAAGGTAACCTGAGCCTGAATACCGCTCCATAAGACACTGTAACGATGAAGCATGGGGTCCAGACAGAAAGCTTGTCAGTCTTCAGCTGGGAGCTTTCTGAAGTGGATTCTGTTGCCCAACCTTGTCAAAAGGTGAGCGCATAAATCACCTTCATTGTATCTGCTCCACAAACACATACATATGTTAGATACCACTGAAGTAAAGGGTGGTGTGTATTTGAATTTCAACAAATTAAGTGAAGATTATCTTGTTTTAACCCCCACAGAGACCAAGAACTAGCTTCTATTGCTTGTTTGGATCGGTTATGCATAAATAAAAGCCATGCAACAAGCAGAACAGTTTAATGTCCTCAACGGGAAAAGAACAATACGTACATTGTGCGTCTGGGATTGGTGATGACCATAAAGCTGCAGGCTCTAAAACACAAACAGAAGGAAAAAGACCTTTGCTTCAACAAACAATATATTAATCTCATATAAAAGAAAACGACATGAGTTTTCAAAGAGCAGACTTATTTAATACGGCTTTCAGTGTGATCCAAGATCAGTCAGGGTCTTAGATTGATGAATCCACTCTGACCTTTTTATGTTGTCTCCTGACATTATGTTCCCAAATCTAGAGTGGCCTTTCTAATGATCTTTTTGATACTCATAGGGGTGTAAGATTAATTTGAGACTGTCCAGAGATGCTAAAGTTTGCCCTGGAAAAGCAAGCTCCACAGCGTTGTTTGTTTAGTGCGATAAGACCTCAAAGACTATCTCTTATCGCTCTATTCAGCCCGTCTGTTTACATCCACCTGCATGTGGTATAAGAAGCCCTAAAGAGATGAAAGCCTCAGGCATGTTTTACCCTGTATGACCACAATCACCCCTGTTCCCTCGACGACTGCTGGAAGTGTTGTAGCAATAAAAAAAAAAAAAGACTTAAAATTTTAGTCTTGTAGTATAGATGCTTCTACAATAATTGCCGTCAGGAGTCTTCAGGTAATTCAGTAGTAGTTCAGGGTGTTTACAGATGTTCAAAGTCATGCTGCCTCAATGAGTCCGGCATTAGTTTTTTAAATTTCCACACTACTACACATTCTACCTTCGACTGTGGGGGTATATGGGAACGATGGCGGCTCAACCAGAGGTTGTTCGGCCTCTAAAAGGTTCCTATTTAGGTGCACATTATGTGAACATTTTCAGTTTTATAGAAAGGAAACAGAACAAGGCATGGAGATCTTTGTTCATTCTGTTTCCAGTGCTAAGCAGCAGATGTATTAAGGGCTGGTTATGCTCCTGCAGCAGTGTGTCGCAGTGAGCTTGTCTCAGGTATGATGCAGATATTTTTGATTTATGCTCAAAGTTGAAGCATGGTCTGTGCTATGTTTATTCCACGCCACAACGCAAAAGGGGAAACTAGCTGTGGGTCTAGATACAGCCGAGGCGGTAAGGAAATGGGGGCAAGTTTGTCCGACAACGGAGGGACATGAGAACAAAAAAGAGGAGGGATCCAGGTGGAAAAAGGGTCCTAGCGTTCTCGCGCACCTCGCTCTTCTAGCTGGTCCAACTTCACAAGTCGTTTTCCACAATGATGTTCATAAAAATAAAACAAGCTGGTAAGGTACCAAACAGGAGATACGCATGACTGGAGCAGATGTAGATTTGAACGATCAGAGGCCTCCTGTCTGCAGCACTGTCTGTGGTCACCTACAATTTGGGAGAGGTGGGGCAGGGTGTCTGCGGAGGAGGCGGGGACGTCTTTGCATTCCCCGCGCACCTACGCAGACGACCTAGTTTCGAAGTGTAAATCGGCCGTTAGTGTACAGCTTTAGTTGAACTCTAGAGAAGTGGACATGTGCTTCTCTAGGGGGATTTAACACAGTCTAGATTAGCCAAAGACTTATTCGTTTAAAGCAGTTTCATGTCCATCAAAACATCAAGTTTACAGTACTGGCATGTTGTTTTTTCTCCATTCTTAAAACCAGCAAAGAGCAACTGGTATCTGTATTACCGCATACTAACACTGAAGCAAAAGATGAAGCCATCGATAACCAACTGAGGGACACTAGACACTCTGATAAACTTTAATCTAAAAAAAAGCTTTAGTTTAGTTTATTCTTGTTAAAGGTGCCAATAAGTGATGCACTGAAGAAAAACACTGAATTTTTTTAGCACATCTATTAATGCAATAAAATATTGCTTTGTAGAAAAAGGGGCCTCGTCATATGCTCTGCATAAAAAAACATAAAAATCAATATGTTCATGAAAAAATTAAGCAATATACAGCAAGAGTTCATCCTGATAGTGTTAACTTTGTCACTTTTGAACCAAAAAATAGTTTTTGCACCAATTTGCAAGCATAAGCATTGTTGTACACTATCGCCTTCTGCTGGTAGGACTTGTTTTTAACATCCATCAACTTGATTCAACTCGTTTTTTCCCCCCCAGCTTTTATTGTCATTTTACTGTCACAAGTACAGAGCAACGAAATGTACTCTCTGCATTTAAGCCATCGCCTTGGGGAGCAGTGGGCTGCCATTGTGCGGCACCCGGGGAGCAGTGTGGGGTTAAGGGTCTTGCTCAGGGACCCAAAGTGGCAGTCTGTGGGAGTGGGGCTTGAACTCAGAACCTCTTGATTCCAAGCTCTATGCCCTAACCATTAGGCCATCACTCACCTATAAAGTTTTGTTTTTTTTAAGGCTGCCAGCTAATGTGCGGCACCAGTGGGTTAAGGGTCTAGCGAAAGGACACTGAGCGGCAATCTGTGGGGCTCAAACTCAGAACCTTAGCATTCAAAGCTCTACACACTACACACTACCCACAAGGCTACCATTCACATCCTGCTTTATTGAACTTTTTTCACACTTCGTCTTGGACCTTTCCTTTTCCTTTTTAAAATTCCTCCAGGTAAATGCTGATATGTTCGGCTCCCATACTTCCTTGTTTCAACAATTTGTATACTGTACCTCGGATCTAGTGTTCTTCAAATGCAAAGAGTCACAGAATTTAACATGTGCTCACGTTTGATTCCCAACTTTCACATGTGGATCACATTTATGCAGAGCATCAAGTATCATTTTGTTCCCGTATAGCAGTCACATGTGCATCACATACTAACATTTTATCTTCCATGTGAATATCATTAGAGCTTTGTATAAAACCCTTTCACATACATGAAAAAGTCAGTGTTTGTGTGTATGTTTTATTGTGCATTGTAATACAATTATTATGTAATTTATTATACAATATTTATAATGTCAAAAATAGAATAAGGAGTTTTAAAAATAAATGACTGACATAAACATGCATTTTCAAACAGTTATTCTGTTTTTTTGTTTTTTTTTTACCTTTTTTATTAAAACTGATACATAATTTTGCTTCTGTAAAAATATTGGTTAGATTTTTGCATTTTGTTTTATGTCTTCATTCACAGCTGCAATTTTGCAGGACCTCCGCCCTCTTGAAAAGAGGTTCACATATGATAAAATATTTATCCTATGAATATCCTGAATATCATGTAAAGCAAGGAACCTGAAGTTTCCCATTGAAATGATGAATCACGTGTAAAAGTCCATTAGTATGTGTTGATTTCATGTTAAAAGCACATTTTATCACATGTGAATAAACTGTGTTTCTAACATAAAACATTGCAAATCCAAGCCTATATATGTGCTTTAAAACGAGTTCCACATGCTAATTTCACATGTGGTGTTTGGGTTTTATGAGTGATTTTCACATGTAAATTTCATTGTGTTTTCTCTGTAATGGATTTTATTGTAAAATAGAGAAAAGCTAAAGTTTATTGAAAAATAAAGCTAAAACAAAGGTAAAATGACAAGCTAACAATGCGCCATAATCAGAAAGCCTTTGCATGCAGCCCGGTGAGCTACTGATGTAGAGATATGTCAAGTCATTGTATAAGATTACACCCTTTGCACATCTTTACCAAGGATGCCAAAAAAGTGTAGGGGATGCAGAAAAAGTCTTTGGCTTTTGCACATATTAAGCATCATTGGATAGACTTCACAGGTGTAAAGCTTATTAACCCAGCTCTTCCTTTCTATGTTAGAGACCTGGACACAAACCGATGATTTGCTGCTGGAAGACAATGAAAATAGAATGAAAATCAAACTTACTTTCTGCTCCTGTCTTTCAGAATCACCAGTAACTTCTTTTCTGTCTCTTTTCTTACGGAAAATTTCCTCCAACTATGAAAGGAAATAAGCATCAAGGAGATTGTGATACACTAAAGTACTTTTTGTTGTCTCTTAGGGAATTATTATGGAGGTGAGGTCCCTACCACCAAGAACTCCCTTTTGTCCACCATTTCGTTGCCGTCTGCATCAAACATGTTGAAAGCGATCCGGAATCCCGCTTGAGGCTCTGAAATTAAACAGAGGAAAAAGCTTATTTGAGAAATTTAAACACTATCTGCCTGCTTGATTCTATTGAATTCAGGTCGGGTGTATACTGACTTGTTAAAATGCAGAGCAGAAAAAGGTACTCGGTGTAACTGATGGCACCTGGAACAAAGAGGAAAAAATATGAGGCAAGGCATGAAACAAAAGCCGAAATGTTCCTTTTTGCACTCAGGACGGCATCAAATGGCATTAATTGGTTAGTTCAGGGTGTTTACAGATGTTCAAAGTCATGCTGCCTCAATGAGTAAGCCGTCCGCAGTGACAAGGCACGCCTCCAGACACAGGTAATCTCCTCGCGCTCACTGATAACATCTTAAAAGGTGCCTTTTACCTCATGCTTGGTGTTCCTCTCACACAAACACGAAGCTTTACAACCGAGCTGACCTACCAGGACAACAAACCCAAACAAATTTGAAGGCCCACAGCTTCTGATGGTGCTTGGGTAACAAGGTGTAATACATTCTTGGGTAATCTGTCACTGATTGAGAATGGCCGATTCAGGTCCTGTGTGGAGGCCTTTGTTGTGCGACATGGAGAATGGAAGAGTAAGTGTCAGGAGACATCTCAGCCGACTCGCTAGGATTCTCCCTCCTGCCTCTGAAAGCATTCCCAAGCTTTTGTTTGCTCGGGATGATAGAGAATCGAGCGCAGATAGTTCTGGGTGAGTGCTCGGGGTGTTATGGGAAAAGAACTCAGGAACAAGGTTTGCTGCAGGGAAATGTTTTCAGAGGAAAGAACACCCAAGAGAAGAAACAAGACTACAAAGGAAACACGTCTAATTTTATTGTGTTCCTATAAGTGCTGGAGCTCTGTTGCTCGTAGGATCAGCTTTTAATTAAGCAGATTTCTACTAAAAAACATCCCACAGGGGAGCTCTCCATCGTTGTGTCTCTGCCCCACAATGACAGCAGAGGTCCGCCTCTACTGGCTTTAAAGCTTAAAATTCAGGAGGCAGAAAAAAAAATCTTTTAAGATTCCTGCCATGTCTCACCAATACCACACACCTTCATCCTGGAGGGGCACCCCCACTCCTCCCCAGCCGCTCAGCCTCTGAGCTCAAGTAGATGTTTTTAGACAATACAAAGAATTCCTCAGAAACACTTCATACGGAGTGGCAGTCCCGGAGATGTAATCCAATGCTATTCTCTGGCTTCACGATGTCCACGGTGATCGGAGCGAAGGGGGTGGGGGCGGCCGGTGGGACATGTCTTGACATAGCGGAGTTCAAACAGCTCCCTCATTCTCTAAAGTAGCGCTTTGTGAGCAGATCAATCCAAATCTTTTTTTCTTTTTCTTTTTTTTCCCCTCCTGACAAAGCTGTAGTGTTTAACAGCAGGATTAAAAGCCCCGAATCCCAGTGCCGGCACTTAGCTAAAGCAACAGGGGGAGAGAGGAGAGCCCTGCTGGCTCACCTGGGACACCGAGCTGGAAGCGTGCAGGCCCAGGTGGGAATGCTTAAAAGGAGTTTCACTCAATTCACTGCAGAGTTCCTTCAAAGACACCATGGCAACCTGCATAAAAGGAAACTTGTTTCCTAACTTAGTTACAAAATGATTTCAAGACACATGAGAACAGATCTCTGGGTAATTTTAAGCCAAAAACAGAGAAATCTTGTCTTTTATAATGGTTCACATGCTGCATTCATGCATTGAACTGCTACAGAATAAAGAAATTATGCCAAATTAGGTTGGCAAAGATTTTTATTCTTTATTCTGTAACACAAATTGATTTTGTTTTTTTTGTTGTTTTTTTGCACTCTGCATTTCTATACGTATGCAACACTGGGCTTCCTGCCGTCATACCTGTCCCTTACCTCCCTTTTTGTCATGTTTTTCATTATTTTTCCACAAATAAAAATCCATCATTTGTGCTACGCTTTTCTAAAAAGCCCTACCTGAGTGTAAACTTTATAGAAACACAGTTTTGCTGCAGTTATAATTTGAAGTCCTTAGTTCTGCATCTCTACCACCTTCTGACTCCAGCATTCCACACGTCATTTGGTCTGCTTGCTCATTTATCATGCTGCACTTGTATCGTATCCCGCACACAGAGCCAGCATGATCACAAACACAGCATGTGAGTGCAAAACTTCCTTTGCACAAGTTTCTTCTGTTTATTTTTGTTTTAATCCATTTTGAAGCCTAAGGTTACTGTAACCCACTGGTTAATAATAAATGGGTCAGTTGCTGAAGTAATTAAGTAATTACCTGATTAAGTCTTTTATAGCATTCTGTACTTTGGGATCAATATCGGAAATCAAAAAGTAATCAAAAAGTATCAGGACATAGTTGTATTTTTGAATATAATTTTCCCAGACCTGCCAAAGATAATCTTATTTAGTTCCAGTGTTGGACTTAGCAATTCTAAATTATGATCATGCCTCAATCGATGCATCCCAGGGATGCTCCATTCGATTGTTTAGGGTTGTAATTTCCCTCAAACGTAACCTTACACTCCAATCTTAGGTCTTTTTGAGCCTCTAACATATTTTTTTTTTAGCATTTAGCTTCATCCGTCTTCCTATAAACAATGCTGCTAGCTTGTCTAACCTACAGCCACAATAACAGCATGAAATTCAAAGTTTCCAAATTAAACAAGCTAAATTGCATGTGCATTTTTTTTGCCTAATGCCTGTGTGCAAAAAGTAGGGATATTGCAAGTGACCTATAAAGATTGGTGCGCAAATTTTAAAACAGAGCAAGCAGATTGTGTGTTCTACAGGCAGTTTGAGAGTGGCCATAAAAGACAGTTCGGTGATGGAGGTATCAGACATAAGGGTGATGTAAAAGATAATAATTCTAATACTAAATTATGTTTACAGAGCAATTTACATAGGCAGCCATCTCTGAAAAAAAAATCAGATAAAAGTAACTAAAGTTAAAAATCAAACAAACAGTCAAAAAAATATTGAATTTGATAAAGAAGCAAATATATAAAATGTAACCATGCTTCCTACACAATATTGTTTTATTCAATTCAAAGAGAAAAATAAATTCCTTATGTAACTAAAAAGATACACATTTTCACCCCCTGCCCACCCCCACCCCTCTTTTTTTCTATGAATGTCATTGTACTATTGCTATTTCTGATGGCTAAAATATCTCTACATGTGCACAGAATCTCTCTCCATCATCTAACAGTCTTCCTAGGCATCCTTTGTGGCAACAAAGACCGCAGATGTTGTTGCATGTCAATTTGCATCTTATTTTAGTACTAATTATGACCACAAAACTGTGAACGCAGTTGAGATTCAGATTTGGAAAATTTCTCTGCATTTGGTAAATACTAACATTTGTATATCCTCCACCCAACACTTTGCATGGTTTGGTCATTAGAATATGAGCTGCATATTGATGAAGGGACACCAAGAAAAAAAAAAAACAAGGTTTCCACATGCTGTTTGCTGAATTGCAAACACATCTGACTATACACCTTCTTTGAAGATCTGCTCTGCTCGTACAAACACGTTTGCATCTGTTTTAGGACATGCAAACCTTCTGAAGATCAGGGCCTGGGTGCTTTAAATGAAATCCAGAGTTCAGTTTTACTCTAATCTGACCTCAGCCTTTTTCCGCGTGGTTGCTGGAGATAAAATGCTGGATTGAACTTCTTCACAACTTTCTCCCTGACCTGCTTTCTTCTTCTACCTCATGCAGTAAAAGCCCCGGATATGGAAATCTGACATTATGATGTCACTAAATATGGAAAAAAATGGTCATGAAGTATTGGGCACTTTTTCCAGACGCATTGTTGTTATATCATGTTGTTAAAATGAATAAGTAAATGGGTATAAAGGTGCTGATGATATTGGCAAGAAATTCGGATTTCCGTAAATTTGAGAAGTAGATATCTTTTTGTTGCTATTTTCAGAATGGACGTACTCTTGTGTTTTCCATTTTGAGGAGAAATCCATGACTCAGTGTTATATTACATTTAGAAAAGGTTGGGGTCTTGATTACTGACTAAAAGCTATTTGGTGGTTTTATCCATCCAAAAAGGTTAAGTAAAAATGTTAAAAGTGCTTGAGTTATATTTGTGAGTTTTTTTTATGATATTTAATAAAGGATTTCTGTTACATTTAATGATTTATTTCAGTTTTTCACCATCTGTGTAGCGAGTATGCATTTCAAGGGCTTGCTGGGAATATTTACAAGCAGACTGATGGGGAGATAAGATAGCGTTTACAGCCTGAACCCTCTGCTGTGGATCACAGACATGTGTCACAACAGAGATCCCTCTGAATGAAACAACATTCGAGGGATTTGCGTCTGCAGTAAATCAGGAGATGGGATCTACCTCTCTCTCGCAGATTTCTGAACAAATTAGATGATCCTTTCCAAACAGGAGGAGTATCCGACAGCAGCTTGTCTAATTCCTGGGAAAACAGAGGAAAAGCCGGGTTGAATTACAGTGAATCCAGCTGTTTTCCACGGATAGAGAAGAGATTGAGTAAAAAAAAAGCTTTGATGGCTTGAAAACTCACCTTTTTAGTGACGGACCTCCATCCTTTCTTACCTAAAGAAAGCAAGACTCAATGTTAATATGTAGGTCAAAAATGGAAAACATGGGGTTAAATAGAAATCAGTGCCAGGGAGGGTGAGCTGGGAATCAAAACTGAAAACAGGTGTTTGCTTGGACAGAAAAATAAATCTCATATCACAATGAACACATTCCAGAGGCCTATAAAGCAGCAGATAAGACAGGCGTGTCTTTGAAATAAATCTGGCTGGAAAGTAACGTTAATAACAACAACAACCTTATAAAAAAAACATTTCAGCAAAAAATCGATGTTACAGGATATAAAATTGTTATTTCAAAGAGTAACTTTCAGATTTTTCATACCTTCGTAGACAAAAAAAATGTCATACCTTCCTGAACGCCCAGCTACAAACCCACCATAAAGCCCTACATCTAGACTTTTACAACAAATGAGCAATTAGCAACGTGACGATAATGAGCCTTGATGTGTTATAATGTTGTTTGTTTGACAGAGAAGAGACACATTACAGCCAGCCGCACACCATACATCACAGTCTTATCATGACATTTACGGAATCTGTGCAAAGTAATTCGGTCTCTGTGGGTCCCTGCAAGTTTGTAGCCACATAAATGAGCCATAAAAGTAGGGTTGCTGGTAAAGATGTCTATCTTTATGCAGGTGTTATGACTAAAGCACTTCAGGGCCTGACTTATTGTCCAATGACACTTTGCAGGCCCTCAGCAGAAAAAAGTTTCCAGGAAGAACCAGCAGAACTTTCATAAAAAAAACTGTTATTAAACTGTTGCATAACATAATAAATGCTGAAAAAAGGCCAGGATATATTTTGATAGAGGTTTGATTAAGCCAATAGAAGTTGACTAAATGGTGGTCTGCTAAAGTATTGACACCTCTTAAACTTTTTCATGCTTTTATACTACAACCACAAGCATTACTCTATGTCAGGGGTTCGAATAAAGAAAATCATCAACCAGTAAATGTCCGGAGACATTTTTAATTATAATCTGTTACTTTAAACACAATTTAAGACTGAAATAAAATTAGGTTTTTATGCATCCATGTTATACATTGAATTTTTTAAATAAAAAAAAATAGAAAATTTGTCCATTTTAAAATCTAAAGGGTTTTTTTAAGTAAAGAACAACAATCGTTCAGTTTGGTATAAAGACAATTTCCTGATTCACATATTTTATAAAACACCTGAACTGACCTTTTGTTTTTCCTTTTTTCTGTCTTAATGTTCGCAGTGGGCTTTATGCAGTGGGCTTTATGCTGCCCTGCAAGGCTTTAAACCTGTGTTTGAATGGAGACTAAGCCATTCTAAAGCACATATCATGGAGCTCATTTTGAGCCTGGATCCATATTTATTTTTGATTCTGTTCATGGTGGAGAACCCTGCTTCACAGCAGCAGGTTGAGCCAAACATACTCAAAGTGTGCAGGGTCATCTTCATTTCACTTTTCTTTCATCAGTTCACCACAGTTCTTCCAGCAGTCCACACTTTCTCTGCTCTATTTTTCTCATCATCTTCTCCTTCTTTCCCGTCGCCCGGCTTGCCACAGGTTTGCCTGCTGTGTCTTAAAGTAGCAGCAGCAGCAACCCAGACTGACAGCTCATTGGCTAATTTCTATCACGTGTAGCCTGGTCCCGGCACTCCGGACGGTTTTACCATATTAACAGGAGAAGAGTTGCAAGTGAAGTTCGACACAGTCGTCAGACAAAATGCGGTAATTGATAAATGTTTTAAAACAGGTTGGGTCGGGATTAGCCAGCAGGTGGGTCTGGATCCTGAATGCGGCCCGCCACTCTGTGACCTCTGGTCTATGTTATTCAGATGGGGGGGTAGAGCAGCCAGAAATGAACAACTTCAACATATTGACTTAAATACTAAAATGTACAAAACATAATGAAATTCAGCAAACAGAGACCTTTTTTCTAAAGAATTTTGTTTTTCAGCATACATTTTGTGAAGACACTACTTTCAGGCACTAATTTATACAGGGTTCTCCCCAGCTTATTTCAGGGTAGTGGGCCGTCACGCTGAAATTTGGGGAGCGTTTTTTAAATAAGTGTAGGGACCCTTTGACGAACATCAGGGCTCCTTTCCCAGGGTTCTGTCCACCACATTTCAGCAAAACAAGTTGTCAAAATTACAGTGAAATTAAGTAGATTTAATGAGTTTTTATGAGCGTAAGAGCCACAAGTACTGTATTTTTAAACATATTTGCATATACAAATAAGAAATAGGAGTGGCCTTAGTTAGCAAAGAGCAAAATATTAAATAAGATATGGGTGCAGCTGAGATTTAAAATTATTTTATAATAAGAGTCACTTAATGGCCTGGTATATACAATAAACTGCCAAAAATATTATAAATATAAAATAATATATATCAAATTTGATGACATCCTATTCCTCATTTATAGGGTCTAATTTGTTCAGAGATTCTTGCTCTGAGCAAAGTGTACCCAATCACAAAATCGCCTGTGCTCAGTTAAACCTAAAAATGTTTCTAATGAGCTACAGGATAGGAAACAAAAAAGATAAACAAAACTGTGTGATGCTGATGTATAAATTGGTGTTGCAACTTTCCCATGCGACTTGCAACAATTGTCAAACTCAATCTGATGTTACCTGCTTTGGATAAAGCATATAAATATTGCAGCTGTATGGGTGCGTAGGGGACAGATGTGAGTTTAAAATATATTGTCACTCTAATATAAATAGTCTAAGAAAAATGGAGACAAACTAACTTTTTTATATTTTAATGATTGCAGTTTGTCAATCAAAGTCACATTTGTTCACTAATTTATCTAAATCTGTTGTATAATTTCAAAAATAATTAAAATTTGCTGTTTTAATGTGACAAAATGCAGAAGGAAGGACTCAGCAGGAGTCAAATGGGCCCCAAAGTCATCCTGAAAATCATATTGTTTTGCAGCAGAGATATCAGTTATTAATATATCTTGGATATTTATCCTTTAACCTCTCTATATTTGTCAGTGGACCTAAAGCATCATTTAAATCTAAACAGAGTGTACTATTGAGCATATGGATACAGTAAGCCCTGCAGATTTACTTACTCCTTGGTTCATTCAGAGTGACAGACTCAATGAAGTTTAGAGGCGTCATGTAGAGCTGGCCTTCACACTCTACTGAGCTGAAGAGCCGGAATCTGTTTTCAAAAGACGACATGTAAACATCTCCTTCATCCAGATCATAGGTCTTTACCTGGAGGCAAACACACAACACATAGAAATACCAGCACGTAAGTTCTATTACTGTCTGAAGGATCCTTCGTCTAAAATACCCTGAGCTTTCTTGTTATGAAAAGGCTTTCTTGGTTCAGTAATGGGGTGGGGGGTGGGGTGGGGGGTACAGCAGATACAGCAGATAATGTCCCTAAAACTGGTCAGCCCCATCCAGATCAGACGGCTGGATTAGTGAGGACAGAGTGGATCTCTCTGTCAGGTGGCCCACTGCCAGGTCCACTGGGCATACAGCAAACACCTAGGGAATGCATGCCCCCCTCTGCTTAACCATTAACCCCCCCTCCCCCTCTCCCTTCTTCAAATATCAGGCGCTCTGCCAAGCCAAAGTGTCCAATTTCTTGTTTCCCTGGATAGCTTCTGTCTAAGGACACCGGTCAGCAATCCCTCGCTGATACCGACTAACACCAGACAACCAAACTGTTTCCCTGCAGTGAATTTAGTCAGACATGCTTTACTCATCAACAAGCACAGTGAACACGATCCTTAGCTTGGTCGTTCTTATGGGAGAAAAACAGGGTGACATAAGTTTGAATAAAGCTATAGTTGGGCTCAAATGGGCTGTAAAGCTTAACTGACCAGTCTTTCCTTTATTTAACATATGAATAGATCTTAAATGGGTCAAAATATAAAGAATGAAGAGTTTTCTGAAAGTCCTACATATACAGTCTGATTGACCTTAATGTTGTATTATTATTTCATTGGGATGAAAGATGTTTTCTTTCCTTTTTTTGTTCTGCATCAAGAGAGACTAGGTTGTTTTTGCCTTAATATTGACTTTTGCTTTAATCTTCCAACATGATTAATTACCAGACTGTAAAGTTAATGCTATTTACACAGTTTATAGGGTGTCCCCTAATGGTCAAAACTAGCTAAATATTAATGAAACAGCCCCAACCAACCAGCCTTGTATAACATGTGTGCTTAATGGGACTTTTAGAAATTTGGAAAATTCCTTCTTTTTGATTTAGTCAAGAAAAAAGTAATAAGACATGGAATACATGATGATCTAATTATTTATGGGCACAAAGAAATGTCCATAAAAGGGAGAGAGGAGAATAATTTACTTCCATTAATGACGTTCACACACTGTGGTCAGATAAGCAATAAAGTGATAACTATTTCAGGCAAAGAACCCATTTAATAATCTCTTATTAAATGTTTCTGTCAAGGAGGGCACTCTTAAAATAATTTTTGTATATAATGTTTACAAATACGTTTTTAGATAATAATTACGCATATGACCAGGTCTGATTCAAGGCATTAGCAAACTAAGCAACTGCCCAAGGGCAACTAGGAGGTCCCCAAGAACAATTCATTGTTGGTTTATTTTGCATGTGTAATTATTTCTATGTGATTATCGTAACAAAACGATTTATGATAAAATTGTACATTTTTTTTATCTATATATTAAAAAAAATGAAGAAATCATTGCTTATACATAAAAAAAAACATACCATTATTGTGGTCAGATTGAGGCACAGAAAAGGAAGGACCACAGTAAAGACAAACCTGTCTTCTATTAGTGATGACTACAGAGTGACGGTTGTCATTAATGATGAATAATACAGAGCACTGTATTCAGAGATGGGAAACTTCCTGACATCCTAAAGCACAGACAATCTCATTAGCTCGCTTATTGCTCTCACAATCTACCCTAACCTTAGGGACGCTCTGAGAACAGCCTGCTCTCTCCCTGTGACTGCGGCATCTGCAGAGCAAAGCTTTACCGAATTAAAATAAATAAAGAACTACCTGAGAGCTTCCTTAGCAGGACAATGATGGAGTGGGGTTGCAGTGATTAATATTAACAAAAAGGTTGGTTATCAGATCTGTTACAGTGATGTGATCATTGACTTTGGACACAGAAAAGCCAAAAAGCACACAGAGTGAATGGAAAACTGAGGGAGAACAGTGTAACATTAAAAAAGTAAAATGTGTGAATAAATGTAATTTAGGTTTTTAATCGAGCTTTCCATATACTTACAAGTATTTACATAGTTTTTTAGAGCCAAATATTTAACTTTACATTTAATTTTTCTACCAGGTTTAAGGTAAATTTGAATTTCATTATTTAAAAACATGCTCTGCTTTTTATATTTAATTTACTATGTCTGTTTTTATACAATTTAGTTTATTATTTTTATTTATCAAAGTTATCATAGTGTTAACAGATATTGTTTGTTGTTGTTCTTGTTCTTCCGTTGAGTGCATTTTGTTCCATTATATGTTATCCATCTTGTAAATGTAAATTTGAAAATACACATTTGAACCTGGAGAGACTCAGACAGAGAAAAGCTGCTAATAAACAAAGTGTTATTCGATTTAATGTATTTATGCAGGTAATAAAGGAGATTGGTCAAAAATGCTCTAACTAAGGTAACCCAGCTGATTGCATGGACTCTTTTCCCTCACACCACGCATGCATGTAGGGACAGTAGAGAGGAAAACTCCCTTTTAAACAGGGAGAAACCTCCAGCAGAACCAGGCTCAATGTGAACAGACATCTGCTGAGGCTGACTGGAGTTCAAGGAGATAGAAGCTGATTATACAAATACTGACACGAATAACAGAAGGCTTTGATGCTGTGAATCAATATTCGCCTAATTGAGTAAACTAGGAAAAAAATTAGAGTAGTGTTCCCCCGGGGCCCAGACACTGGTGGTGGATTAAGCCAGAGGGTGAGTGGGACTGAGAATGAGTGAGGAGATAGGGTGGAGTTGGTGAAAGTTCGCTGGCATGTGGAAGGGAAGCTACAGTAGGCAACATGCTAAATGAAGGGGATCTTGAAAGATGATTTGCTTTGGAGGAGGTACGGCCCTGAAATTGATTGGCTAAAGCTTGAATGTGGCACATCAGCAGGTGCTACAGGTGACGCTGATAAGAATCTTCCAGGCTGAATTTTTTCTGTTTTCTCAGATTTTAATTAGTTTTTGTTGTTTTTTTATTAAGTATTTTTTCACATATTTTTTTAAGTCTTGTTTTTCCAGAATTCCCTTTTTACAGATTTAATATTTTTCTTTATAATTCACCTACTTTTAAAATTGCAGTTCAGAGATCAAAATCTCTCCACTCCGATTGCAACAGAAACGCTCGCTTTCGACGCAAACTTCTACAAACAAAAATTTTGTTGCTAACACTCTGCGGACCAATAGAAATGATCTTTTGCTCTATACCCAAGAGTAAAGCCTGCCCCGAAAAGTGCCCGCTCAGAGAAAAAATTTTTCACATCATTTTTTATTTTCTTTTTACATACGCTTATAAAACCAATATTTATTGTAGGTTGTGTATAAATGTCAGGAACGGGTAAAAAAAACTTCCTATAAAGATTGTTTTTTATAAGTTTAACACTATGATTCTATTTATGTTAAAAGAAACAAAAAATGACGTGAAAAATAAGGTACTTCCATAGGCGGTTCTAGACTGGGGTCAACAAGGGCAACCAGTAGAACTGGTCCTCGCCTCTTTTAGACTAAGACTTAGACTACCTTATACAGAGTGTATACCAAACAAAATTTTATTTTGTACAGCTTTCAGACACTGAATGAACAGCAGCTTAGCAGCAAAATTAACATTTTCATTTCATAAAGTGCAGCAGTGATCGAATGTTAACAGTGCTGGAGAAAAATGGTGCAAAAGGCATTGATGTGGAAGTTCTGAGCATTGCAAAAAATTCAGTAGACAAAAATGTTTTGAGCTGATTTATAATTGGTTAGATGTTATCTTTGTAATGCACAATCTCGATTTGAGACTTCATTTAGAGTTGTGTTTTTTTTCAACAGTTCAGCAGTCTGATGGTAGTTTAAAAAAAAAAGCTGTTACAGAACCGGCTGGACCTGCAGCAATACAATTTAGTTTTAAACTAATTTAGAAATTACAGTTAGCTTTAAGTTCAGCTGTATCATTATTGGTTTACAGTTTTTTTGTGTTTGCTTCTCATTACTATTGTTCTGTGTCCCCATGAAAAAACACTGCCTCCCCCACCGCCCCAGAAGATTTCTTCTAGAACCGCCACTGGTTTTCTATATAAATATTTGTTGATTGTGTTATTTATTTGCATTATAACAGTTATTTGCTCATAACTGTCTGTGTTATTGGATCATTTTAAACATTAAATCAGATCAGACTTCACAATCCAACAATTAATCAAAAGGTTACAAGAGAATCAATTTTGATATTACTTTTTCATTTTTACTTGAGCAATTTCTTGGATAACTATTTTCTACTTTTACTTGAGTAAAAAAAATAGTGCTAATCTTACTTCAGTAAAAGTTTTGGATATCCTATCCACCTCTGATCAGCAATTCCTTAATATATGACGTAGTTATGATGTAATATTCATTGTATGTAATATTCACGTGTACTGTAAACGATGTATAGCCTACAAAGGAAACAGGCATCAAAAATCATAAATAAACAAAAACCAAGAAGTGGTCTAAGAGGTCTCTGACCGTTTAGCCATTTCAGCACCAAAGGTCGCGGATAGCTCCCGATAGTGACAGCAACCAGTTAAATGATTTTCATCAGAGAGAGACAGAGAAAGGAAGCCTGTTTAGATGTTCATCTCAGACTGTTTCAGAGTTAAAACTGTACCTTATTGGCTGCAGAGACCGACGGCAGCGCCAGATGTACGAGCGGTGCTTGGAAGCTCCTCGGTCCGACACCGACAACAGAGCCGTAGTAAAGAGCCGCAGCACCGGCTGCGGCCATAGCTCCACCCGCAACCACTTTCAGAGCTTTTCTCCCATTAGAGGAGGCTGGTGGTTGTAACCCCGCAGCAAACGCTCCTGATTTGGAGCTGTTTGATAGAGAAGGAATCAGCCTGCGCAGTGCGGCGGCCATGGTTGTTTACTCAGGCTCTGTTAACCTGGAACACAGAGTCTCGGACATCGCGAGAAATCACGTGGTTGTGTTTGAGAAGAGGAGTTAGACTCAACACTAGGATAAAAAGCGATATTTCATTGATTTCAACCACTCTGGACTCGCTGTTTTGCGCTCTACTTCCAAACCTCAATATTTTTGTGATATTTAGGGGGGGAAAAACGGTTTCTTACAGATAAATTCTACTTGTAAGAACTAAAAAAAATAAATAAAATACAATATGAAAGGTTTGTTTGTTTTTTCCTTTTATTTGTCTTCCCTTCAAGGTCTGCTATACCAAGACTGGTTAAATAAAGACTATTTAACACTGAAAAGAGAATTATGAAACATTACTTGTGTAGTTGGGGACTTTATTTATTTCGTTAAACTAAAAAAAAAAAAAAAAAAAAAAGATTTATGTCCCCTCACCAACTTATATACTATTCCCTGATCCCTTTTGGAAAATATAAAATATGAAAATAATAGTTTACAGTGGGTACGGAAAGTATTCAGACCCCTTTAACTTTTCCTCCTTTGTTTCATTAGAGCCATTTGCTAAAATAAAAACAGTTTATTTTATTTCTCAGCACCCCATCTTGAAAGAAAAAAAAAAAACAAAACAGAAATGTAGACATTTTTGCTAATTTATTCAAAAAGAAAAAACGGAAATATCAAATGGTCATAAGTATTTAGACCCTTTGCTGTGGCACTCATATTTAACTCACATGCTGTCCATTTCTTTTGATCCTCCTTGAGATGGTTCTGCTCCTTTACTGGAGTCCAGCTGTGTCATATTAAAATGATTGGACTTGATAAGGAAAGGCACATACCTGTCTATATAAGACCGCACAGCTTTTAGAGCAAACGAGAATCATGAGGTCGAAAGAACTGCTCAAGGAGCTCAGACACAGACTTGTGGCAATGCACAGATCTGGCCAAGGTTACTACAGAATTTCTACAGCACTCAAGGTTCCTAAGAGCACAGAGGCCTCCATAATCCTTAAATGGAAGAAGTTGAGAACTCTTCCTATAAACCCGGCCGTCCAGCCCAACTCAGCAACAGTGAGAGAAGAGCCTTGGTGAGAGAGGTAAAGAGGAACCCGAAGATCACTGTGACTGAGCTCCAGAGATGCAGTAGGGAGATGGGAGAAAGTTCCACAAAGTCAACTATCACTGCAGTCCTCCACCAGTCTGGGCTTAATTGCAGAGCAGCCCGACGGAAGCCTCTCCTTTTTCACACAGAGTTTGCGGGAAAAAAACCACATGAATGACTCCCAGACTGACTTTGAGAAAGAAAATTCTCTGGTCTGATGAGACCAAGATAGAACTTTTTGGAGTTAATTCTAAGCGGTGTGTTTGAGGAAAACCAGGCACTGCTCATCACCTGCCAAATACAATCTCCACAGTGAAACATGGTGGTGGCAGCATCATGCTATGGGGGTGTTTTTTCAGCTGCAGGGACGGGACGACTGGTTGCAATTGAAGCAAAGACGAATGCGGCCAAGTACAGAGATAACCTGGAAGAAAACCTCTTCTAGAGTGCTCTGGACCTCAGACTGGGCCAAAGTTCACCTTCCAACAAGACAATGACCCTCAGCTAAATTATTTTGCTAAAATAATAAAGGAGTGGCTTGGGAACATCTCTGTGACCATTCTTGAATGGCCCAGCCAGAGCCCTGACCTAAACCAAATTGAGCATTTATGGAGAGACCTGAAAATGGCTGTCCACCAACGCTCACCATCCAACCTGACAGAACTGGAGAGGATCTGCAAGGAAGAATGGCAGAGAATCCCATATTGGTGTGAAAGACTTGTTGCATCATTCCCATAAATACTCATGGCTGTACTAGCTTAAAAGGATGCTTCTACTAAACACTGAGCAAAGGGTCTGAATACTTATGACGATGTGATATTTCAATTTTTCTTTTTTAATAAATTTGCAAAAAATTCAAAATTTTTGTTTGTTTGTGTCAAGATGGGGTGCTGAGAATACATTAATGAGAAATAAAATGAACTTTATTGATTTTAGCAAATGGCTGCAATAAAACATACAGTGAACATTTTGAAGGGGTCTGAATATTTTCCACAGCCACTGTATCTTGATCAGTGCCTGAAATTCACTTTTGAAATTTGGGGGGAATTTCCCCTTATATGCTTGGGAGTGGGGGGATTTATACATTTTAGGAGGAATTATTAGTCAGTGACTACAGGTCTTATGTTGTGCTAACCATACCTCAGATTAATAAGTTGCTTTCATTTTTTCACCTTATGTCTTCCTAGCTGTTGTTTCAGCTGCTCTCTCTTGCCCCTTCTCTTGCATGATCTCTTTCTCTCACCTAACTGTAGGGTTAATGGAAGAACAATTTTTTTAGGATGGAAAACCTTCCAGGGAAAAATCTTGTAAGGTTACCTACTCATTTTTATATATTTTTACAGCAGATCAATGCATATGCAAAATATTGCTTTGGCCATTTCATTTTCTGCAAAAAAGTAAGATGTTTTAAGAAGCCCTTTTATTTCATCTTCATGAAATGCACTTGCACACCGTGGATAGCTTTTTGGCCATGACATTATTTACTGAATCTGCCTCACGTTTCTTTTCAATGCTGCAGTGGGAGAAACACCGTCAGTGTAGCGGTGGAGGTTTTACAGCTTATGCTGGTAAAGGGTATGGGACTGAACATTTTACAGATGGAGCAGCTTATTTCACCGGGGATGTAGGCATTGCTTTTGATTTGTGTTTTTTTTTTAGAAGCCGATTTCTCTATTGATACGACGATAGATTTTTATTTTAGCCATAAATCCATATTTGGTATATTTTAAAGCTTAAAGACGTTAAATATGATAACCACCGGTTTGCTAGCCTAAAACTAAACTGTTCTCTATGAGAAGAAGAAAAAAGAAAAGAAGAAGGGTGCACCAGTGAGTAGCGGAGATGTCGTCGTTAATCTAAATCAGAAAACATCCATATTAGTAGTTACACTTGCCATATTTTTTTTAAAGAGGGATTTACCCACATTATAAAAAAACGTAATTGAGGTGATGGATCAGATAATGC